CCATCAGTGAATTCCCCTCAGTATCAACATCTTGGTGTTTCCCATTGCAAGGGAATCTAACCATCCCCTCTTGACAATCAATGTGATGAAAGCTTTTGCCTCTCCCACCTTTACAGGCATGTGTGTTCCAGATTCAGCACCACCATCTGGGTGGAAAAACTTTCCCTCACCTCCACGCTAAACGTCTTTCCCCATACTTTCAATTTATTCCATTTCCCCCTGCCCTTGACATTTGAGCTCTCTATCAAAGGGAACAAGGTTCCCCTTGCCCACCCTATTTATACTCCCTCATCATTTAATACATCTCAATTATGTTCCCGCCCCCCTCAATCTCCTCTGCTCAAAGGAAAACAATCTCTTTGATATGACAACAAAGCTTAATAGACATTTAGATGGACACATAAACCGGCTGGGAATAGTTGGATACATACGGTGTGCAGGAAGATGAGATTAGTGTAGAATGGTATGATGGTCAGCACAGACCTGGTGAGTCGAAGGGCCTGTTCCTGTGTTGTACTGTTGTGTTGATTCATGTGGAGCGGGCCTGTAGTTGTCAATAGATGGCTTCCTTTGATTGAAATGTTTATTTGAAGGAGCAAATCCATTTTTTTTTACTTTGATGAATGTTTTGAAACAGAGGATCAATTAATGCTCTTGTTTTGAAACAGAGAATCAATCAATGTTCTTGATTTCATGTTGCCCTTAAACAAATAAATGCTTCACTGGAGGATAACATTTATGCCGTACCAACTCCTTGCCTTCAGATCCGATTGGAGTTCGACTGAGGGATGGAGATGGCCACTGTTCAGGGAGGGTTGAGATGTATTTCAACAACACCTGGGGAGCTGTCTGCGATGATGGTTGGGACATCCTTGATGCGAATGTTGTTTGTAAGCAAATTGGATGTGGACCTGTCCAATCGGCTCCAGGCAATGCTCACTTCGGGCCAGCACAGTCTTCCTTCTGGCTGGATGATGTTAGTTGTAAAGGCACTGAGTGGAATTTGTATCAGTGTCAATCGAACTCATTGGGCAAACACAACTGCCAACCTAATGAGGCAGCGTCTGTTATTTGTTCAGGTAATATTTCTTTTCCATTGCATTTTTGGTAATTTGTTCAGGTGTCCGACCTGAGGTGACGTGACAGATTGTTGTTCAGATTGATGGCACGTTAGCCATTTTTGCTGTAATTGGTCTTAAGGACTACAAAGTAATTTTCCAAATTCTCCTCAAAGACTGATGTCCATATGAAGCAAGACCTGGATAATGACCATGCTTGGCCAAACTGGTGGCATGTAACAGTTGTGCCAGACAAATGCTAGGCAATGACCATCTCCAATAAAACATTATAAAACCATCACTACTTATCATTCAATGGCATTACCCATTAATAACATCCTCATTGTTACCAGGGGTTACAACTGGGACAGAAGGTAACCATCACCCATTTGGCATTCAACGGTGAAACTTTCACTGAATCCCCCAGAATCAACATCCTGGTGCTAACAGTTGAGAGAGAATCTAAACTTTGCCTGATAGACAACCTCATTAGTATCGCTGAATCGCCCCTGTTGACAATATTCTGGGGGTTACAATTGAGAAACAGTCAAGCTATTGCCCCTTTAGACTGAGTGGTGTTACCATCACCTGAATTCCCCCAATATCAATATCTGAATGGTTAATATTGAAAGAGATTCTAACAATTGCCCCTTGACATTCAATGGTGTTACTATCAGTGAATCCCCCACAATATCAACATCCTAGATGTTACCATTGAGACAGAATCTATTCATCACCCCTTGACATTTAATGACATTGCAATAACTATCTCACTATCAGCTTCCTGAGGTTTCCGTTGAGAAAGAACCAAACCATTTCTGCCTTGATGTTCAATGGCATTACCATTACTGAATTCTCCAGTGTCATAATCGTGGAGATTACCATTGAGAGAGTATCTAGCAATCACCACCTTGACATTCAATAATGTCAACCATGACTGAATCCATGACTATCAATATTCTAATGATTACCATTGAGAGAGACTCTAGCCATCACCCTCTTCACATTCAACGGTGTTATCATCACTGAATCCCCCACTTTCAATATCCTTGAGTTTACCATTGAGAGGGAATCCATAAACATCTGATCTTGACATTCAAGGTGATGAGGGTTTTTGCTTCTCACACCCTTAAAGGCAGTGAGTTCCAGATTTCCCACCACCCTCTGGGTGAAAATGATTTTCCTCACTTCCCCTCTCAACCTCCTGCCCCGTGCTTTCAATCTATTGACTTCCTAGGCCCTGACATTGATCCCTCTATCAAGGGGGAAATGTTAAAGAACATAAGAACTTAAGAACTAGGAGCAGGAGTAGGCCGTCTGGGCCTTCGAGCCTGTTCCGCCATTCAATAAGATCATGGCTGATCTTTTCGTGGACTCAGATCCACTTACCCGCGTTCTCACCGTATCCCTTAATTCCTTTATTGTTCAAAAAAAATCTACCTTTTTTTAAAAAACGTTTACTGAAGTAGCGTCAACTACTTCACTGGGCAAGGAATTCCATAGATTAACAACCCTCTGAGTGAAGAAATTCCTTCTCAATTCAGTCCTAAATCTGCTCCCTCTAATCTTGAGGCTATGCCCTCTTGTCCTAGCTTCACCTGCCAGTGGAAACATCCTCTCTACTTCTATCTTATCTATTCCCTTCATAATTTTATATGATTCTATAAGATCCCCCCTCAATCTTCTGAATTCCAATGAATATAATCCCAATCTACTCAGTCTCTCCTCATAAGCCAACCCCCTCAACTCCGGAATCAATCTAGTGAACCTCCTTTGCACCCCCACCAGTGCCAATACATCGTAATGTCGTACGATCAGAATAATGCAACTTCATAGACATGTTAACTTAAAGACTTGCTCTCTGAATTAATGCAGTGGCAATGAAAACTCATTGAGTAAGATTAGGCCCCAGTTATACTTTGTGTCAGGGAGGGACTGAAGATTAGCAATGACTGAGTCAAGCCTCACTGAAGTAAGTATGTCCAGTAAAGATATGTGTCGCATTTGTGTTTCTATAAATATCAGCTTCAATACATTTTTATTTAACGACTGGCCCGGAAAAGCAGCATTAGCAACTGTTTTAGCTCTTGTAAACTCCAAATAAATTGGAGTCTCACTGAGGAAATGACGCATGTGAAAATAGATAGACAGATAGATAGGTGGCTAGACAGATAGATATATGATAGACGGATGGACAGACAGAAGGAAAGAGAGAAAGAAGAAAGAAAAAAAATGTGTTCGTAATTCAAAAGTAGCAGATACAGCACATTTTTTATTACAATAAGAAACCTGCTGACTGGCCACAACCACAAACTGTACCCTGTCCAATGATTGAGTACAATTCCTCCATTTGACCTTAACCACAGGCAGAAAGTTAAACTAAACTCCTGTCAGATTGAATAATTGCAGAAGGTGGAACACTTGCCCACTTACCTCCTCCATCCTCACAATCCAAGGCTCCAGATACACCTTCTGGGTGAAGTAACGATTTACCTATACTTCACTCAAATTGTTTTTGCTTCCACATGGGAGACATGAAACGCAGACTCAGTGATCACTTTGTGGAACACTTTCATTCTGTCCATATAAATGACACTGAGCTTCCAGTCGCCTGCCCCTTCAACGCCCCACCACGTTCCCCCCACCCCGGCCAACATTTCTGTCTCTGGGTCTTGCTGCAATGCTTGAGCAAAGCTCAGAGCAAGCTGGAAGAACAGCATCTCATCTCCCACTTGGGGACCCTGCAGCCTTCAGGACTCAATATCAAGTTCAGTTGTTTCAGAGCCTGATGCACCTCCTTCCATGTCCTTTACCCAGCCCCACAGCACAGGCCCTGTCATGACATGGGCTTTGTCCATTGAACTTTTGTTCTGTCTCTTTGGGCTTTGTCTCTAACTAACTGCTCAATTCTTTCCTCCCCCAATCTATTTTGAGCACATATACCACCTTTTCCTAGCTGCTCAGTTCTGAAGAAGAGTCACTGGACTTGAAATATTAACTCTGTTTCTCTCTCTTTCTCTCTCCGCAGATGCTGCTGGAACTGCTGAGTTTCTGCAGTATTTTCTGTATTTATAACCTGAAACGTTAACTCTCTTTCTTTCTCTCTCTTTCTCTCCACAGATGCTGCCAGACCACTGAGTTTCTCCAGCACTTCCTGATTTTGTATCAGATCTTCAGCATCTACAGTTCTCAGTTTGGTGTTATCAGACTGTCTATTCCCGGAGGGGAAGTGTTGAGAGATAATTTAGCCAGGATTAGTATATATGTATTTCATAGTTAGAACTCATGTTTCAAACTTGCGTTCCTTTTAAAACTTCATGTTCCATTCAGAGAATAATGGATTATACACGTTAACCCCACTGTGACCCCACTAATGTTAGACAGAATGCTTCTGCAGAGAGCAAACTGAGGCACTCATTCATTAGAGCTGTACAATTTTCACTAACAAAAACCCATCACACTGAAATGTTTCTAACATACAATGCACACGGCTCAAATTTAAATTGGGTCCTCAGGATTACTCGTTAAAACCCCATGCTCTTTCATTCTAATGGACTGGGCTTTGAAGATAAATACATGAATAACGATACGCACGTTCTGAAATGTACAATAAACTGAAGAGGGATAGAATTCTAAATGAAGGAACAAATTTCAATAATAACCAATTTTCCTTAGGTGTGTGAACAATGGCAGCACTGATGGCTGTAATAACTCATGGACAACAACGGGAAGGGGACCATTGTTTGTTATCGAACACCAAACTACTTGTGGTGTACGTGGGCTAGTCACTGCTCTACATATCTCTCAGGACATGCAATACTTATGGATTTTCTACTCAACCTGTTCAGAGATTACATACCTTTGGAGCAGGTGGGGCTTGAACCCAGGCCTCCTGGCTCAGAGGCAGGGATGCTACACTGTAGCACAAGGAGCCCCTTTACATTTCACTCTTAATAGCCCATTTAGGGATGGGCAGGAAATTCTGGCCTAGCCAGTGACACCCACAACCCATGAGTAATTTTTTAAAATTGCATTGTAGGATGCATAGGCGGTGCATGAACTATTTTAAAATAGCCGCTGGAGAGTAGCTTCAAATTAGTTTCCAACGTACTCAAACACCAGCAAGTGCTTGAATAAAATTAGTCCATTGCTAATTCAGAACTTCAGATGCAGATGGCCACAGTGCACCATTCGTGTGTGTACAACAATCAAAAATCTATTACTCCTCAGGACCTGGTTCCCTGGAGACAAAGAGAAGATTTTTGTCACACAATGTGTCTTTCACAACTGAACAAAGTGGGTAGTACTAATTGGCATTTCCATAAGAAATGGGAACAGCAGTAGGCCTCTCAAGCCTGCTACACTCTCCAAAAGGATTATGGCTGATCTGACATTCCTCACTTCCACTTTCCTGCCATTTCCCTTGATTCCTGACTAATCAAGAATCAACCTATCTCAGCCTTAAATATACACATGGACGCTATCCCCATGGCTCTCTGTGGCAAGGAGTTCCAAAAACTCACAACCCTCTGAGAGAAGAAATTCCTCCTCATTTCAGTCTTCAACTGGTGCCCCTTTATCCTGAGATCGTGCCCTCTGAGCATACAAGGCAGTACCCTGACCAATTAGTGTTGTGTAAAACTGAAACAATATTTGCCATTTGAAGTCAATCAGCATTAGTGACTGCATTCTCAATTACAATACCTCTGCAAGCCATAATCCACTTGCTAAGCATCAACACTCTCCTGTGGGATAAACATTATTCTTCTACGGAATTTCCCTCAGGATTGCATGAGGGATATCTTTGAGGATGTGTGAAAGTTATTCTGAAACACTGTAAGACATTTTTGCTCAAGGAAATCAGAAGGTGTTAACACCTGGATTAATTTTACAAAAAAATACATTCATAGAAACTTAGAAGATCAGAGCAGGAGTAGGCCATTTGTCCCCTCAAGCCTGCTCCACCATTCAATAGGATTGTGGCTGATCATCCGGCTCAATATCCTAATCCTCTCCTCCCCCCATATCCCTTGGTTTCTTTAGCTACAAGAGCGAAGTCTACCTCATTCTTGAAAACACACAATGTTTTGGCCTCAGCTACTTTCTGTGCTGGTGAATCCCATAGGCTCACCACTCTCTGGATAAAGACATTCATCTTCTCAGTTCTGAAAGGTTATCCCGTATCCTTAAACTACGACTCCTGTTTCTGGACTCCCTGGTCATCGGGAACTTTGTTCCTGCAACTAACCTGTCTAGTCTTGTTAGAATTTTATAGGTTTCTATGAGATGCCCCTGCTCACCTCTCAGTTGTCTAAACTCCAGTGAATATAATTCAAACTGACTCAATTTCTCCTCATCCGTCAGTCCTGCCAATCCAGGAATCAGTTTGAGAAACCTTTGGTGCACTCCCTCGAGAGTCATTCTTCAGATAAGGAGACCAAGACTGTACTCCATCTTCCAGCTGTGACCTCACCAATGCACTGTACAATTGCAGCAAGACATGTCTACTCCTGTACTCTAATCCTCTCGCTTTGAAGGCCAATATACAGTTTGGTTTCTTTACTGTCTGTTGCATCTGGACCAGAGCAGGACTTACACAATTAACAGTAGAACCCTGGGGAGTGTTACTAAAGAAAGAAACATTGGGGTACAGGTATATAGTTCCTTGAAAGTAGAGTCACAGGTAGACAGGGTTGTGAAGAAGGCATTTGGCAGACTTGCCTTCATTGTTCAGGGCGTTGAGTATAGAAGTTGGAACGCCATGTTGCAACTGTACAGGATATTGTTAAGGCTGCTTTTAGAATACTGTGTTCAGTTCTGGTCTCCCTGCTATAGGAAGAATGTTGTTAAACTTGAAAGGGTTCAGAAAAGATTTACAAGGAGGCTGTTGGGATTTGAGTGTTTGAGTTATAGAGAGAGGCTGAATAGACTGGAACTTTATTCCATGAAGCTTTGGAGGCTGAGGGGTGACCTTATAGAGGTTTATAAAATCATGAGGGGCATGGATAGGGTTAATAGCCAAGGTCTTTTTTTGTAGGCTAGGCAAGTCCAAAACTAGAGGGCATAGGTTTAAGGTGAGAAGGGAAAGGTTTAAACTTACCTGAGAGGCAACGTTTTCATACAGGCACCACCCTCTTGGCTTTTCTGATGAAGGGTCTAGGCCCGAAACGTCAGCCTTTCTGATCCTATGAACGAGGACAACTGAGATGTACGTACAGTTGTTTTTCAAGGACCGTAACTTCCCCTCCTCGGTGGTCGAGAACGCCCTCAACCGTGTCTCCCACATCTCCCGCACCTCATCCCTCACACCCCGTCCACGCAATAAAAACCAAAAAAGAATCCCCCTCGTCCTCACGTACCACCCCACCAACCTCCGGATCCAACGCATCATCCTCCGACACTTCCGCCATCTGCAATCCGACCCCACCACCAAAGACATCTTTCCCTCCCCACCTTTATCTGCTTTCCGGAGGGACAACTCTCTCCGTGACTCCCTTGTCCGCTCCACACTCCCCTCCAGCTCCACCACACCCGGCACTTTTCCCTGCAACCGCAGGAAGTGCTACACCTGCCCCCATACCTCCTCCCTCACCCCCATCCCAGGCCCCAAGAAGACTTTCCACATCAAGCAGATGTTCACCTGCACATCTGCCAATGTGGTATACTGCATCCGCTGTACCCGGTGTGGCTTCCTCTACATCGGGGAAACCAAGCGGAGACTCGGGGACCGCTTTGCAGAACACCTACACTCGGTTCGCAACAAACAACTGCACCTCCCAGTCGCGAACCATTTCAACTCCCCCTCCCATTCCTCAGACGACATGTCCATCCTGGGCCTCCTGCAGTGCCACAACGATGCCACCCGAAGGTTG